AGGTTATAAAACATGGAGACTGGCTCGGTTGTTCGAGCCATTTTTGATTTCTGCCCTAGTGTGTCAGAAGAGCTGCCGCTTTTTGTGGGAGATATTATTGAGGTGTTGGCAGTTGTGGATGAGTTTTGGCTTCTAGGAAAGAAGGAGGATGTTACAGGTAAGAGACCACCATTCCTCATGTACACGATGCACCCCAGGCCTTGCCTTCCTTCCATATTAGAAATGAAGACTAAATGGGAAGCCCAAGTTAATAAATTCAGAATCCTTTTGTGTTTGCCTTCTGTTTCCTACTATGGCCTCCACCAGGGAGGGGGAAATTTCTCTTTTCCCATTGCTTCTTAGTGATTCCTTCAAGAGGCTGAATGGTTCAACACCAGCTGCCATGGGCTTTTCCTATCCAAGTCTTTCCCTTTCCTTCCTTCTCCCTTCCCAGGTCTTTATTCTTTTGTTCAGTGTTATTATTTCTCTTCTCAAAATATGCATTATTCCTTTCTTCAGAACCCCATTGTTTACCATAGCTTTTCACAACCAGCTTTGTCTCAGATAATGGAATGTAAGGCTCTCTCCACCTCTTTTCCTCTAGCTGTCTTCTTTTACCATTTTCCAACCTTTCTTTCATTCTTCACTTGATCTTAGCCAAAAGGCCAAGAAGTAATCGTTCTCTCATTCTTTTCAGGGGAACATGATTCATCCTGTTCACTCCTTCTTAGATCCATGGTTGGCCCAAATGTATTAAAAACTACTCTCTACCCTAGGTGCTACCTACTTCCCACATTCCATGCACCTGGTTAGCTTTTTCTATTCTTTAAAATATATGTTAACATCAATTTTTTTTCATTAGTTAGCCTAAGGAAGGGTGGAAGCTTTCCCTGCATGACACACATCTATGGTCATCCAATCCTTAACTTGCATGTATGAGGGGACTTCAAAAACTTCATGGAAAAATGGAATTAAAAGATAAAAATAGAAAATATAAGTTTATTTCTCGACATAAGCTCCATGAAGTTTAAGACACTTTTGTAAGTGATGATACCAGACATTTAGTCCAACCCTAAAGAACTGAGGGTCCTGGGAATTTATTAAATAACTATGTCAATGCAATCTTCTTTATATTATTCACTGAAGAAAAATAGGTACCATTTAAAGATTTCTTAAGACTAGGAAACAAAAAAAAGTCAGAAAGAGCCAAATCAGGACTGTAAGGTGGACCTGATGATTTCCCATTGAACCTTTCACAAAATTGCCCTTGTTTGATGAGAGGAATGAGCAGGAGAATTGCTGTGGTGAAGAAAGGCTCTCTGGTGAAGCTTTCCCAGTTGTTTTTCTGCTCAAGCTTTGGCTGATTTTCTCAAAACACTCTCATTATTATGAGCAGATGTTAGTTATCATTCTTTGGCCCTCCAGAAAGTCAACAAGCAAAATGCCTTGAGCATCTCAAAAAACTGTTGCCACGACCTTTGCTCTTGACTGGTTCACTTTTGCTTTGACGGGACCACTACCACCTCTTGGTAGCCATTGCTCTGATTGTGCTTTGTCTTTAGAATCGTACTGGTAAAGCCCTGTTTCATCTCCTTTTACAATTCTTTGAAGAAACCCTTCAGGATCTTGATCCTGCTGTGTAAAATTTCTATTGAAAGCTCTGCTCTGGTCTGCAGCTGATCTGGGTGTAATGGTTTTGGTACCTATTGAGTGGGAAGTTTGCTCAACTTCAGTTTTTAGTCAGAATTATATAAGCTGAACCAATTGAGATGTCTGTGGTGTTGGCTATTGTTTCTGCTGTTAATTGTTGGTCCTCTTCAATTAGAGAACAAACAAGGTTAATTTTTTCCTTGCAAATTGATGTGGATAGTTTGCTGCTTTGGGCTTCATCTTCAGCGCCCTCTTGTCCCTTCTTAAGATGAGTTATCTATTTGTAAATGCTGATTTCTTTGGGGCATTGTCCTCATGAACTTTTCTTAAAACATCAGTGGTTTCACCATTCTTCCACCTAAAGCTTCACCATAAATTTGATGTTTGTTCTGGCTTCAGTTTTAGCAGAAATCATGTTGCTCTGACAGGGGCTCTTTTCAAACTGATATCTTATCCTTCTTAGTGCCTCAAACTAGATCCTTTTGGACGTGTTATAGCAAGTTAGTATGAGTTTATTTTGGTGCCAAAAAAATTGAAATCTGTACATGATTTTTTCGTAATACCCATTTTCCATGGACTTTTAGAAGACCCCTTATATTTATGTAAGTCTGGGTTGGAGTATGTTAAACAGTCCCTCGAGTAGACTCTTTGGACATTTAACTCACATTTGGCAGATGAATAGATTATTTCCCCACAGAAATGATATCTCAGCTGAGACAAAAATGATGACTAGAAGTTAGCAGGGCAAAGAGGATAGGCAGAGGGTAGTGCTTGTTGAAAGTCCCTGGAGTGAGAGAGAACACAGAGGGACAGAGGGAAGTTCAATGCAGGACGGGGTCTGAGTGGCTGAGGCAGGAAGGGTGGGTGGGAGAGAGGAACAGAAGCTGGATCCGGGAGGGTAGCATATGCCATGGTAAGGAGTGAAGAAAATGGGAAGCCTTGAAAGTGCTGTGAGCACAGTCAGATTTGAACTTTGGGAAGCTCACTGCTGTAGATAGAAGAGGGATAGGAAGGGGCAAAACTGGATGCAGGGAGGGCAGTCGGGAGGTTATAGGAGTAATCCAGGTGAGAGGTGATGTCTTGGACCAAGGGGGTGGGTCTGGAGATAGTGGACAGACACAGGAGATGTTTAGAAAGTAGAATGCATCAAACTATCTTATTCTTTCCAGCTGGCAGGCCCTGTCTTTCTACTACCACCTATTAAAACCCTACCCATCTTCAGACTCAAAGGCTATCTTTATTTTAAAGCTTTTCATATTCTTCCTGACCCATTCTCTACCCTCTCTGAACTTCCATAGCAGTTTGTATACCTATGTTGTGACACTGGGTTTCAGGATTGAATTATTATTTATGTGTAAATTAGACCCTGTGTCTAAACTAGATTTTCAGATCTTTGAAGACCAAGACTGTCTTAATTATGTTTCCCTCTATGGTCCGCTTTGCATATACAACTGTACCCTATAAACGCTTATTGAATTGAATTGTGTTCTCTGTGTTCTGCATGTATCTAATGTTGTGCACTGTCCTTTTTCTACAGTAGATCTCCAATCATGAGTATTTAGTGAGTTGTCAAGTCAGGGTCTATAAATGGACTCTGGAAAAAAGTGTCCTTTTACACAGAAAAAGAAATTTCAATATTAAAATTCAGTATTCAATATTGAATTTCAATATTCAGTATGTTTCCTTTTATTTTCAGGACAGTTCCCCAGCAGTTTTGTGGAAATTGTGACCATTCCCAGTCTAAAAGAGGGAGAGAGACTGTTTGTCTGCATCTGTGAATTTACATCTCAAGAGCTGAACAGTCTTCCCCTCCATCGAGGTAAGCTGCTCATCCAAGAGTAGACTAC